GTCACCACTCTGAAACTTTCTCCTCCACAGGGATTTGCAGTTGGCGACAGCTCCAGGACTTCATTCATCTCCACTCTATGATATTGTCCCTCACCTCTATAGACTTTGGGATTGTGTCATACTGCTACACACCCCTCTTGATGCCTTTTCACACACAAACACTGACACAAACACAACAGCAAAAAAAAACCCTTCCCTAATGAAAAACAAATACTGAACCTCAGCAGATTAATAACAAAAGCATGGATGACTCCTGAAATGAATATTTCAGTTCAGTTCACTCCTAAGTGACAGCATCAGCCTAATTGGCAGTTGTTATATGTTGACTGGCCTGGCTTTTTGTGGACTGAAAGTAACTACAGTTGAAATGACGGTGCAGTCGAGACGTTTAAAGCAAAATTTATTTTTGTGACATTGAGTCTCACGGTTGTCAGAAATTTTACTCTTAACCCTCCCTCTGCCATTTTGATTCTTCTGTGACTAAATAATACTGCAGATCAGGACAATTATATTATATTATGACATATCATTATGACAATAAGGTAGATGATAATGTTTGTTTGTTTTTTCTTTGCATGTTTCTGATTGTTTATTTGCTTGTTTGTTTGCAAAACATCTCATGCACCACCTGACAGATTATAATGATTGATGGATTCACATGGAGAACGAATTCATTTTTTATTACACCTAATTCAAGATGGCTGCCACAAGTAACTGACCTCAGAAAACCCAAAAATGGCTATAACCCACTCTCTTAAAAACATAACGAGCTAAAATTTAGTGAGGTAGTGGCTAAGAGTCATCCCTCACACATATGGAGTGCTGAATTTTACAGGACATCTTTGCTTGACACTTTTGCATAAACTGTTGGACTTAACCTAAGAAAATAATCATTCAATGAACATCTACAACCAATGGAGTACCTACCTGTCAGTGCTCTTTTTGAAACAACTCAAAAGGTCAAAGTTTTTGCAAAACTCAGGAAGCACTTTATGATGCAAGATCCATTACAAATTTTGACTGATTGACACAACATACGTTCAATAGGGGGTGGGATAACATGAGGGCTCAGCTGGCCCTCCCTGTTTGGAATGGTAATGAACAAGCTGATGGATGAGGTCCGACTGTAGTCACCATGGGCTATGGATGTCTGCAGACAACAACATTGATCTGTTTGGGAGAGGGCGCTGGTGGAGAGAGACTGGAGAGGTTAAAGTTGAGAAGTAGGATGTGTGTGGGGATGAGAGGGAGACAGTACCTCTACTCCAAGGAGTAGGTGCTGAAGGTGGTTGATTTTAAGTACCTGAGATCAACCGTTGATAAATGGTCAATGGACTGACTTAATGCTTTACTAAGCCCCATGGGGACCCCAAAGTGCTTTCCACTACAGTCATCAACCCACGAACACTTACATTCACACACTGATGTGGTAATGGTAAGCTTTTGTAGCCACAGTTGCCCTGGGGTACACTGACAGAGGTGGGACTGCCATGGACTGGCACCACCGGACCCTCAGACCACCATCAGTAGGCAAGGTTGGTGAAGTATCTTGCCCACGGACACTACGACTGAGACAGATCGAACTGGCAACCCTCCAGTTACAGGGTGACTTCCCTAACCACTCTGCCACAGCCGCCCCATTGCTCTGTGATGGACTTGCAACCTGTCCAGGATGCACCCTGCCCCACAGTGACGGCTGGATGTGGAAACACTTGAGCCCCATGATTCTGAAAGGAAGAAACAGCTAGGATGGATGGATGGATGGATGGATGGATGGATGGATGGATGGATGGATGGATGGATGGATGGATGGATGGATGAATGGATGGACAGACAGGATCAAACATCCAAGGAAATGAGTAGCGGAGTGTATAGAGATGAGTAAATTGCTGTGAAAGGGAAGGTTTCAAACATAGTGAGATCTACTATGATCTGTTTAGTAATGGTGGCGCTAACAAAAAGACAGGGAGTAAAACTGGAGGTGGCAGGGATGAAAATTTCAAAAGTTTCATTCAGAGTGACCAAAATGGACAGGTTTGGAAATGTGTACATCAGAGAGACAGCTCAGGCTGAGTGGTTTGGACTTATTGAACATATAGAGCTGCCAGTGAGGAAAAAAAAAATAGGATTACAGAAGGTGTAGTAAGGAGATTATGTAGAAGGTTGTTGTGATAGAGGAGGGTGTTGGAGTGAGATGGAGACAGAAGAGGTATGGTGACCCCCGTCCGAAAGAAGGTTACCATACAACCAATTGCTCAATACCAGATAAAGACACAAAACAGTGGACAGAAGTTAACACAGCCTTAACAGGTCAGCACATAAATCATTTAAGATTAATCACTTTCTTAATATCCCCTCTAAATCTTTGATAAGAAGATTAAAGGAGGTTAAACAGTTTTTTTTTTCCGTGTGCATTTAAGTTGGAAATGATGAATTTAGTGTACTCTGGCACAATATGGGCTTTTCTTATTACAACAGGAATATATGGATCTCTGTGTAATATCTAATAAAATACTTTTTTTAATTTGCTCAAGCTACAAAAAACCTTGAGCTTTTAAATATTAGTACATTTGTATCATGTGTGAATGTACAAGAGCTAATACAGCAGGCAGTTTTGACATTAGAGAGAAAAGCTTGGTTTGTTTATTGTGGATAAATTAGTTGTACTGATATTTGACTATTTAGTTGTACTTTACTTTTTTTAAAATTTTAACACAAAGTCAGTCATGAGTGCATCAAATGTCTGTAACGCAAGCATCAATTGCAAATATTTTTAGTTGTGATGATTTGATGTGATTGATTTGTTCATTATAAATTGCTTTCTTAAAATAAAAATAATGTATGAGTCAAATCTGATCAAACTACTCACACAGTCCTGACGCTGCTGATACGATTTTTTGAACACAATAAAATGTTGTGGGGAAAAAAAAAACACTTTCTGAAGTGCTTTAATCTGACAAACCACTAAACGAGACACACTGCTGACACAAACTCTTTGAAACAAAAGTTGGATGCGGTTTGCCTCACCAAGTGATTGAACCCACAAAGGAAACACTCTGACATTATGTCAAGATAACCAAACTGAAAAATAACGCTACAAAGCCATTACGGCTAACATCTGAGGAGCTTTGAGGTTGAAACACGTTCCTTCACAAATTTTGGAGAAAACATGGACACTTCCCGCATTTTGAATCCTGTGTCTTGTTCATGTGCAAAAACTCATTCATTTGATGCAGTTGAGATATTTTTAGGGGGGGGGAATATTTTTTATCTCTTTCATTCAACTGAAACTGAATGCTCTGTTGTTGTGCAACTTGTATAGTACTTTTTTATTGCTTATTTCTCTTATTTTACCCTTGACAATCTAGTTATTTTGTGACCTTGTGACACTTTTTTTCCCTCAGATAATAAGCCAGTGGCAAAGTTAACTTCTTTATACAGCCAAAGCCTTTAGCTTTAGTCAGAGACAAATGTCAGAGTTGCTGAACCAGCTCCATCCTCTCATGCAGAGTAACAACAAGTGAGATGAAATCATTACTGACTACTGATAAATAAGCAGCAGTAATTAAATGCAGCCACAATTAACTGTAGTGTGTGTCTCCCTGGGAGGATGTGGTTGAGATCCAGGCTCAAATGAAGTCTTATCTGGCTCCAGATCGGATGTTAAATCTCAGTTGAATTTTGCACTTTTTGCACAATTTTAGAAGTTGCAACTCTTCTGACAATTACGATAAATCATTTTGGAAATTTACAGGAACAGATTTTATACAACACAACATTCTACCAAACTGCAAAGAGTTTTTTTTATTGTTTTTTTAGTAGTATTGGATGAATGCTTACTATTTTCAAATAAGATGTTTAACTGTTTAAACCATGAGTAAGACACTTTAATTAACTGAATATTGACAGAATAGAATAGTGCATGGAAATATCTATTATTTTATTTTATTTTATTTTGACAGAAAGCCTTTTGAACTACTAGATAGTTTTTCATTTATTGTTCAGAAAGTAAATATTGAGTGAAGTCATCCCAATTTAGAAAGGCTGCCAGCCTGCCACACCAAGCTATGTCAACACATTATAACTTTGTCATTTTTTTCAAGGTTTTCTGATAATTAATTACAACACATCTTTTCAGTCATTACTAACTGTGCAAGATTGCCCCCAGCATTGAGTTTGGTCAAGAAATTACCAAAACGGCTGTAATTCTGTCAAAGGCTCATCATCTAATTAATAATCTCTAGCATGACAGGTGGCAAGTGATAAACATTATCTCTAAAATAATGCTCTGGTGTCAAATCCTTGGTTTCAAGGGTCATTGTTCTGCATATTTTACTTGTTTCTCTGTTACACCTGATCCAATTGTTAAATGAGTTCTATGTTATGTAGAAACCTGTTAATCAGCCATTCATTTAAATCAATTGTGATGAAACAAAAACCTCCAAAACAGGCTTGATGGGGTCTTAAGGACTTTTGTGAACCGAAATATTGTAAAACAACTGTATGCAAAATTAAAAGTTCTCTATTTTTAGTTAATATTATCCTACTGTAACAAAAGCTTAAAAGGGTGCTGAAAATGTGAGTGAAGCAGTTACATCATTGAACCACTAAGGGGCGATGTTTATTCAGTTTAATTTTTAAGACAACCCTTTTTGCCGTCAATGTACACAAAAGTGCTATGAACGACGTGCTTTAGTTAAGCAATGTAAGGAAATACATGTGCATGGTACATATTTTTC